GGGACAGGAGAGAAAAACTAGGAAAGAGCAAAGGAAAGAGTGACATTGTCCAAAAAGAAATGTACTTGTAGCCAGGCACTGGTGGCTCATGTCCTAACTACTCCGAGTCTTGAGAGCTGAGGATTGCAGTTCGAAGCCAGCCCAGGCAAGAAATTCTCCGAGACTCTTATCTCCAATGAACCGCCAAAAAACTAGAAGTGGTACAGAACTAGCCTTGAGTAGAAAAACCTACAGAAGAGTAGAAAAAGCTAGCAGGGTGCCAGTGGCTCATGCCAGTAATTCTAGCTACTCAGGAGGCTGAGATCAGAGGCTCATAGTTCAAAGCAGCCAGGGGAAGGAAAGACTGTGAAACTCTTATGTCCAAAGAACCACCAAGAAAGCTTGGATGTGACACTGTGGCTCTAAGTGGTAGAGCACTAGCCTTGAGTACAAAATCTCAGGGACATGAGGCTGAGTTCAACTCCCCCCACCACACACACCACCAGCAACAATAAAAAATGTACTCATCATCTGGCTTAGGAAACAGTAGCCCCTCTGTACATCACCTTTATAATAAGAATAAAAAATATTTAATAATCAAAAAGAAGAAAAAAATGGGCTACTGATCGGTATTCCCAGCACTGTAATAGTACTTGCTAGACCCAGCAGATGCAGGGGGGTTATTTTAGTTCTGTTTATTGTTGCTTATTGTTGTTGTTTTCTGCCTGCCCTTGATTCTATGAGTCTGCCCCCTATCCCCACTCAAACTCCTTCTGCCAACACAGAAGGCCCAAACTGCTGGGACATACTGCCTATCATACCGAGAGCAAGGCTGTTGAAAATAAATCTCCATCCCGAGTTTCTAGACCATGAACGACAGGTGGACTCCTGGAGGAAATTGTCACACTCTCTCCTTCCTCCTGGCAAACCATGTATAAAGCAGGCTGCGAAGGGGGCTGGAGGAAGAGCGCTAGACTTCATGACTCAGACATAGGGCTGGATGCGAGGTTCAGAATTAAAGAAAGGAATGACGGAACCTTTTGGTCCCAGCCAGACACTAACTCGGAGGAGGCTCATAGTCGCCTGGGACATCCTTTGGTTGCTCCTGCTGAGTTCTTCCTATCTAGCTCTGCCTCCATGATTTTCAGGGTTTTGGGTTATCACACCTTTTGCCTTTTATCCAAAGCTGATGGTAGGGGTGGATGTCAGTAGACCTTGATTCTCCTCAGCCTCGTCTCTGTACACGCCCTATTCAGGACTTGGCTAACCAACACCCCTTCTATGTTGGCAAGCATCTTCTACCTCTGGGAGGCAGCCACTCTGCCTTCCCATTACAAAATGGATCTTCTGTACCTACCGTCCCCTTACACCTGTTTTAAGATGTAGGTGTTGATATTCAAGGATGGTGATGCCAAGCAACCGGGAGATGACTGCTGTGGAAAAGCGAGTCTGTTTTCCTCCTGGTTCTCAAAAGGACCCTGGAGGTCCACGCAAGACACAGGAGGGTGGACCCAGGAGGGAAGGAGAAGGACATCTCTGAGTCCAGGCTTCTCTTGTGGTGATTGCATGAGAAGGAACATGGGTGAGACAGGACAACCAGGCTTGGGATTGTCTAGGTGAGGGAATCTCAGGGCTCAAAGGACGAGGACCAATTTCTAGTCCTTTGCTACCTAGATCTGAGCCAGGCAGGTAGATAAGAAGAAGAAAAAAGGGGTTTTACAGAGGGGTTACAGATACACAAGTCAGATGAAGAATACATTTCTTTTCGGACAATGTCACTCCTTCCCTCGCTCTCTCCCAGTTTTTCCCTCCCATCCCCACCCACAAGTTGTAGAGTTCATTTTCCACAGTGTCCAGTGAGTACCACGGCTGCATTTGTTCACCCTTTGTCCCTCCACTTCTGTGCCTCCCCCTTAGCCCTCCCAAAGACGGATAACTAGAGAAACAAGACAAAAAGAAAAGAAAAACAACCTCATTAACCATTTCCTGGAGTTTATTTCAATAACTATTATTCTATCTGATCAGAGGCACATAGGCATTGAGACTTTGTGTTCTTCCTCTAAGAGTATCCTACTTTGGTCTCACTGTGTGTGAATGCCCAGAGTCCTGTATCATTTACTGTGTCCATAACAAGTAATGGAATTCAAATGACAAATAAAAGACCTCCCAACCAAGAAAAAGCCCAAGACCCAGTGGATTTACAGCCAAATTCTATAAAGTATTTTTTTAATTGGACAGTTTAGTCTCTCTATTTCTGGACACAGGTCTAGAGTCCAGTTTGGCCACTACTCTGTGAATGCTGCATTACAATAAAACTGCCTCATCAGGGTTTCCTGTCAGTGCTGTAAGTGAAGCTTCTGTCCCTGAATGGCTTTGTACATCTCCTGCCACCTAGTTCACTCTCCTAGGCTCAGGGGCTTTGTGCAGTTTGTCCCTGATGAGCATCCATCCAGGAAGTGCCAGGGATACAGCACTGCCTGTAGATGGTCCTGGAAAATAACTCCCAACTCTTCTCATCATACTGCCTCACATGCCGCCTCCCTTAGGATGCAGGTGAAGCCCAGGCCCAGAGTTCAAGCCTCGAGACTGACAAAAAAAATGCAGGTGACATCTGTAGATTCTTCAGCCCATTTGGTTCTTTCTGCCTCCTTCTCTCTAGTTTTCTTTTTCTTTTCTTTCTCTCTCTCTCTCTTTCTTTCTTTCTCTTTCCCTTATTTTTGTTTTCTTTCTTCTTTTCTCTTTCTCTTTCCCTTTCTTTCTTTCTCTTCCTCTTCCCCTTCCCTTCCTCTTCCCCTTCCCTTCCTCTTCCCCTTCTCCTTCCCCTTCCCCTTCATCTTCTCCTTCCCCTTCCCCTTCCCTTTCCTTCCCTTCCCCTTCCCTTTCCCTTCCTTCTCCTCTCCTCCTCTCCTCTCCCCTCCCCTCCCCTCCCCTTCCCTTCTCTTCCCTTCCCTTCCCTTCCCTTCCCTTCCCGTCCCTTCCCTCAAATCCGGGGGCTTGAACTCAGGGGTTTGAGCTCTGTCCCTGAGCTTTTTTCCCTCCTTGCTCAAGGCTAGTGCTCTACCACTAGAGCCATAGTTCCAGTCTGGCCTTTTTTGACAAGGGTAGGTAGTTAACAGTCTCATAGATTTTCCTGCCCAATCTGGCTTCACACTATGATCCTCAGCTCTCAGCCTCCTAGCATAGCTAGGATGACAGGCATGACCCACTGGCCCTTCTCTAATTTGTTATGGGCCTTACAAAACAATACAAGTGTGTGAGTGTGTGTGAGTGTGTGTGTGTGTGTGATATGATGATGATGATGATGATGATGATTTGCAGTGCTGAGGATCAAATCCAGTATTTTGTACATGCTAGGCACACATTCTACCACTAAGCTACAGTCCCAGTCCAGATTTACAGGCTCGATAATTGTTTAGCCTGTGTGGGTTTTATTGTCTCCTGTTGCTATGCCACATGGGAAGACCAGGTTGACATCTATGCTTGGCCATTTTGAAGCCTCTGGGCTCTCAGAAGAGCATAAGATGGCACTGGCAGATTAGTCACACTTAAGAACCACCCGGTGAGGCAGAGAGGAGAATGTTGATAGGCTCTGGTGAAGTCATTGTCTTGGCTGACCTCCTGAGCTGATCCTGAGCCACCTCTCAGGGTGCCCATAGGGAGGGTATTGGCAGCTGGGTTCTGATCACAGGTGAACTCAGTAAAATCCATGCTTAGAACCACAGCTGGAATCTTTAGCTGTTTGCCTTTGAGTTTTCAGCTCCAATTCTTCCAAGTTTAGAATTTTTAGACTAGCTATCTCTCTATCTATCTCTCTCAATCTATCTATCTATCTATCTATCTATCTATCTATCTATCTGTCTGTCTGTCTGTCTGTCTGTCTGTCTGTCCGTCTGTCTAGACATCTTACCTATCGTCTACTTTTCTGTCAGTCTATCTACTGTCTATCTATCAATCAATCACTGACCTATTATCTACTGTCTATCACATGTCTATGTATAGGATCTGTTTTTCTATCCATCAACGGACCTATCACCTGTCCACTATCATATTTCTCTATCTATCTTTCTGTGGATCAATTGATTGGCCTATCATCTGTCTTTCTATCTCTATATCGATCTACCATCTGTAATTTCTTTATCTATCACCAGTATCTGATTTGCCCTTTATCTACTGAACCAACTACTGTGTAAACAAGAAATAGGGAGAGAGAAAGAGAGAAAGGAAAAGAAAAGAAAGGAGTGACTCATGGGTATTTGCTTTTTTTTTTTTTTTTGCCTCTTCTCCCACATCCTGCTGTGGCTTCAGGCTCTTATGTTCCCCAGACTGACATATCCTCATAACCAGGGGACGAGACACCCAGCAAATGCAGAAATGGCCATGGTGAACTAAATAAAAAAGAAAAGAAAATGTGATAGATCTCCCACAAGCCAGGTAGTCTTCAGTGGTTGTTTCTGGAAGGCTTGTATTTATACCTCTCTCAGAAGGAAGTAGAAAACCTCTTCAGTTGCAGAGGGAGAGTGTGCAGCTAGGGGCTCACCTGCCATGATCCCTTTAACGCACCTGTCTGCCTGGTGACACACAGCAGCTCTTGTCTGACCCCTGATTTTATGATGCCTTTGTCTTTGAGGGGGGAAGGCATTTATTTCTATATGACTATCTCTTTTAAAGTGCAATTTATCTAGTTTTCCTTCTCAATTACTATGCCCAGACATTGATGGGTATTGCACACACCTAGTTTTATATATATATATATATATATATATATATATATATATATATAGAGAGAGAGAGAGAGAGAGAGAGAGAGAGAGAGAGAGAGAGAGCCATTAAATGGAAATTGCTATTCTCAAGATAAGCAGCCATCTTGTTCTACTGTACCTACACAGTAGGACAGCCACATCTCTTGTTTTCTTCTTCAGACTTGCACTGGCTCGTTGTGGCCAGTCATGGAGGAATGACACCTGTAGACCAGCACAAACTTAATTTGCTTCCTTTTTTTTATTTTTTCTTTCCCTCTCTAGGATTACACCCTCACGATGTATTTCCAACAATACTGGAGAGACAAGAGGCTGGCCTATTCTGGAATCCCCCTCAACCTCACGCTGGACAATCGGGTGGCTGACCAGCTGTGGGTGCCTGACACGTATTTCTTGAATGACAAGAAGTCCTTTGTCCACGGTGTGACTGTGAAAAACCGCATGATCCGGCTCCACCCGGATGGGACGGTACTGTATGGGCTCAGGTCTGTCTGCCTCTTTGGGGCCAATTTTTGTACTTGCATGGTGTGTTGCCTTGAATTTCTCACTTGAGATGATTGGAGGAAGCGAGGCCATGTCCTCAGATTAATTAGGAAACATCCAAGACAACACTCTGAGCTTTGCGGGGGCAGGGAGGGGGGACACAGCAACAACACCCCATCATCCAAAGATCTGAAGCGTGACTGTTACTATAAATAGCTATCAAGCCAATTGCAAAGCAGCTTCCTTGGCTGAATGGTACATAATTGGGTTACCCTCTCTGAAAGCATAGAGTCTCTTAGGATGGACTTCCCATATGATCGCCACAGAGACTCATAATTAATATTGTCCTGACACTGCAGAGGCTTTTAATAAAGTTTTTTTCCTCTCTCTCTCTCTCTCTCTCCCAAAGCTATTTGGAAAGCCAGAGAAGAGGAGGGGAGGGGGAATGTCTGCTGTGCAGATTATAAGATACAGTCTCTATGGAGCTTTCTTGAGGTGGTGTGGAGAATATTTATGGGAATGACTAAGTGAGAGGTTTTCTGATGAGAAACAGCTTTCTCCAGGTCCTTCTAATGCAATCACTCAAATCAGAAAACCGGGCTGCCTTTCTGAGCCAGGAGGAGGAGGAGGCCCTAGGATTTTCTGGTTGCTCTGGAAATCACGAGACCTTCTCAGGAAGGTTTCATCATTTTAAGCGGTTCATTATTTTGCATATTACTCTGCTGAATGATGCTCTTAAAAACCTTCTGTCTCTTGCATTGGCTTTGCACTGCATATTTTTAGGGAGGGGAAGGGGAGGTTGGTTTCTAAATAGGGTTGTGTGTATGTGTGTGTGTGGTGAGACAGAAAAACCGAGAGACAGAGACACACAGAGAGACAGAAACAGAGAGAGACAGATAGAAAGGCATGCAGAGACATACAGGGAGACAGTGATAGAGATAGACACACAGAGGCAATTAGAGAGACAGTGACAGAGGCAAAGAGAGACAGAGAGACAGACACACAGACAGAAAACTAGAAACAGAGATAGAGAGACACAGAGAATCAGAGGCAGAGACAGAATGTATGTCTCTATCTGCTTATCTCCATTTTCTGGCCTAAAAACCCACCTCCCCAACCCCAGGCCTTCTAGGAGTGACACAGTTTTTGTTTTTATGTGGGACTTGAACTCTGGGCCTGGGCGCTGTCCCTCAGCTTTACAGCTCAAGGCTAGCACTCTACTACTTGAGCCACAGCACCACTTCCAGTTTTCTGGTGGTTAATTGAAGATAAGAGTCTCACAGACTTTCCTGTCTGGGCTGGCTTTGAACTGTGATCCTCAGATCTCAGCCTCCTGAGTAGCTAGGATTATAGGCATGAGCCACCGGTGCCCAGCTTGACCCACAGTTTTTAATGGAACACACATGAATACTTTGAAGAAAAGAGTTATTGCAAACTGTAGTGGAATTCAGAGCCTTCTTCAGAAAACTCCAGTGGCTAAAACTGGGACATAACCATAAACCTTGAAGGCTCATCTCTGTGTCCTTGTGGTCTTCCCAGCTACAAGATGAATGAAGGACCTATGCAACATTGCCTTAAACAATGAATGTTGGGTGAAGCTGGGCACCAGGGACTCACACCTGTAATCCTAGCTACTCAGGAGGCTGAGATCTGAGGATCATGGTTCAAAGCCAGCCCAGGCAGGAAAGTCTGTGAGACTCTTATCTCCAATAAACCACCAGAAAACCTGAAGAGGTGCTGTGGCTCAAGTGGTAGAGTGCTAGCCTTGAGCTGAAAAGCTGAGGGACAGCGCCCAGGCCCAGAGTTCAAGCCTCATAACCGACAGAAAAAAAAAAAAAAAGAAGGAAAGAAAGAAAATGCTGGTGACTTTTGAAACCACAGCATGAGTGGGAATTTTGTACAAGGTGAGAAAAAAATAGCATATGTCAATCTGATCCTGGTTTTACTGCCAAGAGTCTAGCCTAAAGTTTCTTTGGGAGGTTTTTAGCAGTTAGTATTTTTTGTGGTTGTTCCAAAATGAGAAGAAATGTACTGGTGAAGGTGTAGAAGTTCTCACAAGTACATCAGTGGTCCAAAAACATATCCCAAATTCTTGTGACCATAGGAAGAGTTAGTAGATACCTCTCTCTATAAAAGACATAGAGAGAGATATCTACATATATATATCTAGATATCTTTACATATAAACATATATAAATATATAGAGATCTATCTATAGATTTATAAGTATATATTTATATCTATACAAATATAGATCTATAGATTTTATAGATCTATCTAGATAGATATCTTTATACATTTATATATAAAGATACCTATAAATATTATATATAAATATCTTTATGTATTTATAGATATGTGTAAAATAAAGAAAATTAAATTATGTCTTTGTCAGACAGTTTGCCTGTAAGTTTATATGCGAAAGCTAAATAATTCTGTAATAGGGAAAGTTTTTAATTAAAAAAAACAACTTTGTATAATGGCCTAAGAAATAATCATTCTAGTCAAATTTACATCTATTAGGCCTAGTTAGGAGCCCCTTAAATAAAGGTCTAAATATATGCCTTTTCATCTCCATATGCTCCTGAGATTTTTATTTGGGGTGCCACATTTCTGTAAGAGTGCTTCTTCAGTTATGTGAACTTGGACAAAGTGTCATGAAGAAAATCTCTAGCCAGGTGCCACTGGCTCAGGCTTGTAATCCTAGCTACTCAGGAGACTGAGATCTGAAGATCAAGAGTCAATGCCATTTTATATCTCGACAGAGATAGAGAGCTAAAATGAAATATATCATATATCATATGTACATATATATTATGCGTATATCTCATATATATATATATATGTGGCCAGCACCTGTAATCCCAACTATGCACTGGCTATTTTTGGCAAATTAGCACAGATACACATGAACTCCCATTAAAAACCCATCAGGATTTTCAAGCACACATATGTGGGAAATACCAGAGCTCAGACACATCCTTACTTCCCAGTGGCCCTTAGTTTCCCCTCGGAGTGGGATGGAGAGGTAGACCAGAAGGTACAGCTCTACGATGATGCCCAGCATTTCACGATTGCAGTTTGCAGCTGGGGAAAGATGAAAACTCAAAACTGGAAGTATAGTTTCTAACTAAAGGCATACTATGTTTGCACCGTGGTAAAAATTTAAAAAAACTGTAGGTCAAGCCAGGTGCTGTGGCTCACACCTGTAATTCTTAGCTACTCAGGAGGCTGAGCGTTAAGGATCAAGGTTCAAAGCCAGCCTGGGCAGGGAAACCCATGAGACTCTTACATCGAGTTACTCAGTAAAACATCAGAAGTGGAAGTGTGGCTCAAGTGACAGAGTGCCAGCCTTGAGCAGAAAAAGTCAAGGGATAGTCAGGATAGTCCAAGGGCCTGAGTTCAAACTTCAGAAAGACAGAGAGAGAGAGAGAGAGAGAGAGAGAGAGAGAGAGAGAGAGAGAGAGAACTGAGCCATGTGCTGTTAGTTGCCTTACACCTGCAATCTTAGCTACTCTGGAGGCTGAGATCTGAGGATCACAGTTCCAGGCCAGCCCAAGCAGGAAAGTCCATAAGACTCTTAACTCCAATAAACCACCAAAAAAAAAAAAGAAAAAAAAAGCTGGAAGTGGAGCTGCAGTTCATAGGGGTAGAACACTAATCTTGAGTAAAAGAAGTCAGGGACAGCTTGCAGGCCCTGAGTTCAAGCCCCAGGACCAGCGCGCACGCACACACACACACACACACACACACTCACACACACACACACACACACACACACACACTGTAGATCAGACCTAGAGGAGGAAAGACACAGCAGAGCAGAATGGAAGTTCCCAGGTAGAAACCTTCAGATACTGCTTGATGTAGCTACATCCACCTTGCAAGGATGTTCCTCATAAGATCCCACCTAGCCCGGCCTGCTTTCCTCCTGGCTGTGTGCTAACTTGAACTGCACTGGTGGTGTTTCTGAGGCCTGAAAGGTGAGATCTTCTTATCCCTGGACATGGAGCTTGTCCGTCTCCCTGCCCTCCAGGCTAGCCCCACACTGGGGGAACCAATCACCGTGTTTGCAGCTCCAGGCTCCTTTTCCTACAGGCGCAATCCAGAAGGTCTTTGCCTTATCTGGGAAGAGATGGAGATGGTTGACCGTGGATGAGCCGTCTGTGACGTAGGCTTGTGCATCACCTCAGCCTTATTCTGGGAAACCATTGATCTTTAACTCTGATGACTGCAAAATAAAAAAAAGCCATCCAGGACTTTTGGCGGATCTCTCAGATGCTTGAGCACGGGGCAGGCAATCGGAGCCATCAAAGGTCGCTGCAAACTGTGAACCCACTTATTTCTTGTTCCCCCCATAATGTCTTGAGACTGGTACTTGGAGGCAATACCAGCTCATATTCACCAACTTGATGAGTGGCAGCTGGTCACGACTCACACTAAGCCTCTGGCTGGCGTGCTACCAGCTCCTGATAGGATGCCAGAAAAGCCTCTGGAGAGGAACACCCAACCCCATCTTGAAGCACAGCAGGGCTTCTTGGAAGACCTCTATTTGATCAGCCAGACCCTTGATGGAAGACCTTGGATGTCTAAGGGACTTTGGGGCCTTCACCCTGGGCCTTCGCTGCTCTGATTTCTAACTGTCTGTGAGGATGTAGAGCCATTCCTCTCCCATCCCTCCCTGTCTTGCTCAGTTTCCTGATTCTCTGGCAACCCTGGATGTCTCAGTTGGCACCATTAAGCATGCTTCATTAATGCACGTTTTCCTTCGTGCCATGCATTTTCTATCTTTAGGGCCATTTCTCTGATGCTAGGACATTGATAAGGAGGTCATCAATCGCATGCAGTTGGCTCCAAAACATCAATTACAGTTCAAGGATCGTTCTCAAAACAAAGCAACCCAGCCAGGTGCTGGTGGCTCACGCCTGTCATCCTAGCTACTCAGGAGGCTGAGATCTGAGAATAGTGATTTGAAGCCAGCCCAAGCAGTCAAGTCTGTGAG